ACCCAAGCTGCTTTGTGGTCTGACTTGACTAAGGAAGTCTGTGGATGGGGGGTTCACAGTCATAGAGCCTTCTCTCTCAACTGCAGCATATCTTTTAGCCTTGCTTTTCTTAGGATGGTCTTGTAGGTTATTAGTTGTCAGAAAGCACTCAGGCCTGGCCATATCTGTCACATCTCTACTCCTCTCCTTTGAGAGTGATAGTCGCACACAGAGTTTTTTAACAGGGTCTTTTTGCGCACTCTTGGGTCGAGACATGCTTTTTCCCAGCACCTCATAAATTGACTTGACAAGGTTTTTAAGGTCCTGCAAACCAGTAGAATGGCTGTTAGATAATAGCTTTTACAAAGAGGCTATGGCCTCATGTTTTGAGTCCAACCTATCCCCCTTTAATATTTATTCAGTGTTTTCAAAACTAGCTGCCAGCAGTCGCATCCTACGGCATCTGTTCCATTTGGGGCCTACCCTTGGGTAAATTCTATGTTAAATAAACTGGTTTCTCAAAAGAGTCAACAGTCACTGAAAGAGTTTGTGAGTAAAGAAACATAAAAGTTTCGATGAGATGTTCGGTGCAACAACACTTAATTGCTAATTCTGCTTCCCATGTATAAGTCAATTTAACATTGTTTACAGGCTCAGATTGTAACAAAGACGGCGGTTTCTAATGGAGAGTACTCTAGATAAAAACACATTCCGTATTCAAAAACAAGGCAAATGGCAGAAAAGCAACAGCACGGGCTAGCAAAGATGGGGTCAAATACCAAAAGGAAATAGGATGTTCTAGGAAATTATTCAAGGCAATCCAGATATTAATGCATTCATGATGTGCAGACTGTAAAGTCCAGTTTCTGTAGCATGAAGTGACTAGGAATAGTTTTACTCCCCCTGGATGGGATGCTAGTCCATCGCAGGGTTACTCCCAGCATTAAATTCGGCAGTGCCCATTTGTACACCTGGGTTGAGAGAGGCAAGACACTGGCCTCTCTCAAGAACACAGCAAAATATCCCCTGGCCAAGGCTCGAACCTGGAC